GATAGCTTGAGGCTCCGTCTCAAAAAAAAAAAAAAAAAATGTTTTCACAGATCAATCCCAATTTCACAAAAAAATACAATTAGTCATCTGTGCAACCTGATGTGATACACAGGAAGTCCATGACATCACTTATCAAACATCCTTGTCACTTGACAGAAATTCAGGGTTGAGAGAAACAGGTATAACAGAAGAATGCACCAAGCAAACCCCAAAATGTGGGAAACTCCTCAAGACAAACAAAAAAATTATCAGAAAAATGAAAGAAAAGTATGTCTATAGGTTAAAACAGATTTAAAGACACATTCAAACACAACATGTGGCTTTGGCTTAGATCCTGAGGTCAACAAATTAACCATAAAAATAAATGAGACAATCAGGGAAACTTGAATACTGACTCAATATTTGATAATATTAAGACATTTTTAATTATTAAATTTTGCTACAATAATAGTATTATGGTAATGCCTTTTTAAAAAATCATTTTTCAGGGCAGTGCCTGTAGCTCAGTGGGTAGGGCACCAGCCCCATATACCGAGGGTGATAGGTTCAAACCCGGCCCTGGCCAAACTAGAACAAAAAAATAGCCAGGCATGTGGCGAGCACCTGTAGTCCCAGCTACTCGGGAGGCTGAGGCAAAAGGATCACTTGGGCCCAAGAGTTTGAGGTTGCTGTGAGCTGTGATGCCACAGCACTCTACTGAGGGTGACAAAGTAAGACTCTGTCTCAAAAAAATAAAAAAGGAAATAGCAAGACCTCATTTCTACAAAAAAATAAAAAAATTAGCAGGACATGGTGGTTTGCACCTGCAGTCCCAGCTGCTCTGGAGGCCCAGGCAGGACTGTGTAAACCCAGGAACTGGAGGTTGCAATGAGCTGTGATACCACTGCATTCTCCCAGAGGTGACAGAGAGAGATCCTGTCTGAAAAAGATTTAAAGGTAAAATGAAATGAATGCTTTGCTTTGTTTAAAAATAATCCCAGGGGAGGGAGGGTGTTAGAAACAAAACAAAATGCTAATAACTGAAGCTAAGCTATGGGAACATGGAAGTTCATCAAATTATCCCTTCTACTTTTACAAATATTGAAACTTTTTTAAATAAAAAGAAGTTTTTAAGTTTATGATTGTTACATAAATCAAATACAGTTGGGCAACATCCATAGTCATGACTCTTTTAATTAAAATAATGGAATAACTAGAAGGGAGGAGAGAAAACCATTTACGAGAGTGAAATCTTATAGTAAGATAAGTACAGTCTAAATTAAATAAATCACAAATGGTACTGTAAGTATATTACTTTAATTTATGCAATTTACTATCAAGGAAAGAGGTAAACAAACTGAAAATGGCTGTCTTTGGGCAACCAGCCTGGTGGTTAAGGGAATGGTGGGACAGAAGATGGTAGTTTTTCACAATAAGCTTTTTACACTATTTGGTTTTCTTAAAAGCATTTACTTTTATTACTTTCATTAAGAGTTTTTAAAACTAACTTAAAAAATGAGTGTACATATCCTGTCCGAAACACAGTCCTGTTTAGTCTAGTTAACGGCATGCCCTGCATTCCACTTCAACTGGTCTTTCATAGTGCCACTCTTATTTCTGTTTATTTGCTTTCTCCTCAAAATATCTTTGTTGTATTTTAATTTTCAGTCTCTTTCATTTTAAGATACCTCTTAAGACATAATAAGACTGTCTTTTAACCAACATGAGAGTCATTTCTATAGTTCTGATTCTGTTACTGTTCTCTGCATTGCAATTACCTTCTCAGAGGCCCTTCACAGTTGTTTTTTTAAAATTCTGTTCATTTATCCTTAATTGGGGAAAGAGCTATCATCAGATGAAAGGGATAGTGTTCACAAGTACCTCTCACTCCCCACTTGTTTATTCACAGCTTCTCCCTCTCAGAGCAGAGTTTCCTGAGGTTTCAGTTCAGAGTTCTGAGTAGAAGGCGGCTAATGAATGAAATCCCAACTGTGTCACTGTGGTCCCAAGCATCTTGCCCTGTTTGCTTTTTCTTATATTATAAACCCCAGGATGCACTTTACCATCCGAATGCCTCTACTAACTGCCTTATCACAGTATTAGGAAGTGTAGGCCAGGCGGCGCCTGTGGCTCAGAGGAGTAGGGTGCCAGCTCCATATGCTAGAGGTGGTGGGTTCAAACCCAGCCCCAGCAAAAAAAAAAAAAAAGAAAGAAAAGAAAAGTAAGTATAGACCAAACAAATGGAAAAAGGAAGGAATAACCTGACCAAGCCTAAGAACCACTCAAATCACACCTCTGGGCTTTAGGGGTACTATTTGCTTATTTTGTTTTTTCCAGTGCTTCTCATGAAAGCACATACAGTAAGAATAAGATGGAGTCTGTCAAACTAGGGCAGACATGACAAGCTGGTCTGGTCAGGTTCTCCTGACCTTCACTTCCTACCTCCTATTCTTACTGTTATGCAAACTTAGTTCCCACCCTAAAGATGCCTGTCTTGAGTAGCTTAGGTGGAGTAATTTGGAGATTAACTTTGAAATTACAATGTTATTAATTATTTATGAGTCATGGGTTCTGCAGATTTTTGTTTAAGTTAAGGGTTAACATGGTCTTTTCTTTGAACTTGAATGTATAAAACCGTAATGGAAGAGCAGAACAGTCTTGGAGAGGTCACTCGCACTGTTCTCCAGAATCGGCCTTCTGTTTGACAGGCAGCCAGATGCTCTTCCTCTGGTGACACTCAAAACATAATATGTTTACTATGGATAACTGTAATATGACCTTGGGAAAAATCAATCTCTCAATGCCTTGGTTTCCTCAACTATAAAATGAGGATTCTGTAAACTTGTCATGGTAACATGCTGGGAGAATGGGGACTGAAGACCCCATTCCTGGCAGGGGAAAGCACCCCCAGAAAAAGCAGACAATTAAAAAGTAAGCTGAGTGAGTCAGAACAAAGAAAGGTCATCTAGTTTACATTTAAGCTAGCCACTGCCAGCAAGCTTCCTGCCTTTTCTAAAATTCTAGCATGTTGGGGATACAGCTTACAAACACCCCTGCTGGGTCTGTGAGCACTCTGAGGAAGAGTAATGGTCATAGAAGAGACTGTGGCAGGTCTTAGAAAAAGATACATCTTCTAAGGCATTTCCTGCGCATTTAATAGGCAAAGCAGATACCCATTGTGGAGATTTGAATTTGCCTGGGGCAGAGATCAAGAGAGTAACTCGAACCCTGAGGTAGGGGCAGAAGAGCTTATATCCCTTATTGCAGAGGAAGATCCTCTGTGGTGGTGATGGGAGGAAAAGGCCTCCCTCCCACGGATCCCTCAGAGGAGATTAACACCAGTGGCGTTTTACTCTACAGGGAACTAGGGGAGTTTAACACCTCCCTAGAAATTTGTGTGTGTGATCTCAAGTAGGAGGGTCTCCCAGTACAAGGCTCAGATTTCACATTTCTGAAGGCCACCTTTAAGGTTAATAATAACAATAGGAACTGGTATGCTCAATCAGAGTTAACTGCTGACGTATTTGTTCCCTCCCTCATCTTACCCTCTGGCCAAAGAGACTTCAATAAAATCAGAGTGGAGTAAATACTCTGGGCCATTGCCAGAAGCCCACAAACGGGCAATGGACCCTTGAGCTCCCACCTTTAATTCTACTCTATGTCTCAAGTCTCTTTCTTTACCATTTGTTTCTAACTTTATAATTCTTCAGTTGCCACCAGTTTCCACAGGTCTTAGTGGACCCTGGTCCCAGGGCAGGACTCTGACCTTAATTGAATTTCTTTCTTT